GAACCTCTCTTCTCCACATCCATTTCCAGGCAGCGATTAAGGAAGTCTCTAAAAAGCGGGGAGAGCTTCTCTGGGTTTTGCAGCTCTGGGGTCCCATTGGTAGCAATGAGATACAAAGCCTGAAATAAATAAACATTTGTAAATAAAAATTATCAAAGACAATGAGAAACATTCTCTGCCCAAGGGAGACACTTATTGCATTCCCTGGTTGCAATTTCCAGCTTTGCTAACCAAGAAATTGCTAACTAAAGAAATAAACTGCCAGTTGTTAGATCAACAATTTCTTTCCTTCCTTCCTTCCTTCCTTCCTTCCTTCCCCTAAGAAATTGCTAACTAAAGAAATATACTGCCAGTTGTTAGAGCAACAATTCATTTATTCCCTTCCTTCCTTCCCTTCCTCCCTCCCTCCTTCCTTCAAGAAATTGCTAACTAAAGAAATAAACTGCCAGTTGTTAGATCAACAATTCATTTATTTCCTTCCTTCCTTCCTTCCTTCCTTTCCTTCAAGAAATTGCTAACTAAAGAAATAAACTGTCAGTTGTTGGATCAACAATTCATTTCCTTCCTTCCTCTCCCATTCCTTCCTTCTCTCCTTCCTTCCCTTCTTCCTTCATTCCTCCCTCCCTCCCTTTCCCATTCCTTCCTTCCCTTCCTCCTTCATTTCTCACTTCCTTCCTTCCTCCCCTCCCTCCCCTGGTTCCTTCCTTCTCTCCTTCCTGTTGTTTCTTCAATGGTCACTAAATAAACTGCTATAAGTTGAGGACTACCTGTATTCTAGAGATGGGCTCCAGCATGAGGCCAAAAGCTTGGAAGAATAAACCTTGGTGGGGAGTGATTTTTTCCCAGGGACCGACTCAGGTTGGATCCGGTCAGATTATCCCGAGGAGTTTATATTTGCCTTAATTACATTTGCCTCCGTTAAGAGAAGGGGACAAACGGCCCTGAAACCCAAAGCTTACCCTCAGGGGGTTCTCGTTGAGGTACGGAGGTTCCCCCTCAATCATTTCAATGGCCATGATGCCCAGAGACCAAATGTCCACCTTGGGGCCGTAGGCTTTCCTTGTGACCACTTCGGGAGCCATCCAATATGGCGTCCCCACCATGGTGCTGCGCTTACTCTGCTCAGGAGTGATTTGGGCGCAAAAGCCAAAATCAGCTGGAGGAGAAGGAAAAACAAAAACAGAAAGAAAGAAAGAAAGAAAGAAAGAAAGAAAGAAAGAAAGAAAAAAAAAAAAAAAAAAAAAAAAGAAGAAAAAAAGAAAGAGTGAATGGATGAAAAAAAAAAATTCAAGCTAAGTGTCAGGATTCCACCACTTAACCCCATTTAAATCACAAGTCTCGAGCGAAACTTCCAAAACTTCAAAAGGATTTATTGGGAGTTAACATGTCCGGCACTGCCTGGGTGGAGCCGACTCTGAGACACATCATTCACTGTCACCCTTGACCCTGGTTTTTTTCCCCCCCACCCCTCTGGGTGTATCATAATTCATATTCTCCAATGGGACACCTCCATAGCCCAGAGTCATCAATCGTGCTCTCCAGTTAGAATTTTGCACAGCAGAAACTTCGGTCACCTAGTTACTATCTTTGAAAACATTGATGGAATGCACTTTCAGTTTGCAAGTGACTGAACTGCTCCCTCCTCCCTGTCTGTTGGCAACTCTAAAAAGACCATAGAAATATTTTATGAGTTGACACTAAGCTTGGTCTACTCTAGCTGTCCTCAACCTGGTACCTCCCAAGAAGGAAAAAGCAATTCCCAGAACTTGTAGCTCCCATGGACAACTTCTTTGTACTCTTGGAGAAGCCAAAAAAAATAAATACACTTTTTCTTATACAACAGGTCCTTGAGAAAGGTCTGAGAATGATGGTTTGGTGTAGTGGGGAAGGTGCTTGTCTAGAAACCAGGAGATGGGGAGTTCTGCCAGGAAAACCAGCTGGGTTGACTTTGGACCAATCACCAGGAGATGGTGAGTTCTAGTCCCCCCTTAAGTCTGGAAAGCGGACTGTTGTGACTTTGGACCAATCACCACAAGATGGTGAGTTCTAGTTCCGCCTTAAGTCTGGAAAGCTGAGCTGTTGTGACTTTGGACCAATCACCAGGAGATGGTGAGTTCTAGTCCCGCCTTAAGTCTGGAAAGCGGACTGTTGTGACTTTGGACCAATCACCACAAGATGGTGAGTTCTAGTCCCGCCTTAAGTCTGGAAAGCTGAGCTGTTGTGACTTTGGACCAATCACCAGGAGATGGTGAGTTCTAGTCCCCCCTTAAGTCTGGAAAGCGGACTGTTGTGACTTTGGACCAATCACCACAAGATGGTGAGTTCTAGTTCCGCCTTAAGTCTGGAAAGCTGAGCTGTTGTGACTTTGGACCAATCACCAGGAGATGGTGAGTTCTAGTCCCGCCTTAGGAAGGAAAACCAACTGGCATGACTTTGAACCAATCACCAGGAGATGTTGAGTTCTAGTCCCGCCTTAGGCAGGAAAACCAACTGGCATGACTTTGAACCAATCACCAGGAGATGTTGAGTTCTAGTCCTGCCTTAGGCAGGAAAACCAACTGGCATGACTTTGGACCAATCACCAGGAGATGGTGAGTTCTAGTCCCACCTTAGGCAGGAAAACCAACTGGCATGACTTTGGACCAATCACCAGGAGATGGTGAGTTCTAGTCCCCCCCTTAGGCAGGAAAACTAAATGGCATGACTTTGGACCAATCCCCAGGAGATGGTGAGTTCTAGT